GAAGCAGGAGATACACGGAAAGAGCTAATATACATGCCGATATACATCAGCTGTATACCAAAAACGGGATTGGGTTGAAATCCAAAAACTTGCAGCCAAGTTGGCCCAATATCCTTATCTCTTTTACTCTCCTAATTGTTTTGATTATGTCTAACTAATTTTATTTAACTCTAACTTTAGAATTATTAATTAACTTAATTGAATTCCCCAAAAGACGAACTATTTCTCTGTGTTGTTTTGTTTCTAACAAATCTTATTTCATCAACTCTTGTATTTTCATTTATATTCTTTAGTCAAAACTTTTTATTAGTTTAAAATAGTTTTTCATAAACCAAAAAAAATGACTCAAATAAAAATCAACTAATTTAGTTTCGTTAAAATTCTTATTACTTGTCTCTAATTCAAATGTTTCAATTAAGGTCTCATTTTCTTAAAAAATAAAATCGCTCTTTGTTTGACTACTTTCTCAAAGTTAATCTAATAGTGTAAATAAATAAATAAATACTTACTTAGTTATTTTCTCAAAAAAGTTAGTCAATTAATTCAAAATGATTTTTCATACTTTAATTTATTAAATTGGTTTAATTTATTCTGAAATGAACTAAATAAATTCTAATTAGTCTAGTTTTATTAATTTTCTAATCACTCGCACCTTAATTCAAATATTTTCATTTTAGGTCTCTTCCTCTAAAAAGATCAAAATAAAATGGTTCATTTCTTAGCTATTTTTTAAACTTAATCGAATAGTGTAAATTATTATATACTTTTATGTTAAATTTTTTTTTCTAAAAATAGTCAAAAAATATAAGTCAAGTCGCAGGTCAACCGCATGTTAGCGGACACTTCGAATGCTTAAACCCTTCTCGAAGTGTAAATTGAACCCCGAACCCTCTTTGGTATTTTCAAATGATTTTTTCTGTTTGAATCTTTGAAAATTATAAGTTTTCTTAATTTCTTTAAAAAATTAAGTGGCGACTCTTTCTAAGTATTTCTCAAATTGTTTTATACTTAGAACGTTTCAAAAAGTGATTTTTCTAAAGATAGTTAAATCACGGCACAACAGGGCGCGCTGGCAGGCGCGACGCGCCAATCCCTAGCCCAGAAAATTCGACTTTTCACCCTCTTTTCTTCAACTCTAAACCATCCTTACTTCAAAGGTTCCAATCCCACCCATTAGGGATCACAAAATCCCTCAATATACAATAGATTTCAACTCAAGAACACAACCAAATCATGTCCCACAACCAACAAGAACTTCAACAACACAATCAACAACATCAACAATAACTAACAACTTCAACAACATATCCAATCCTTTCTCAAATCATAAAATGAGCTTGGTGTGTGGGGGAAAGGATCAACCCACACAAATAACTCACATACCTTGATAGGGATCACCCCCGACGATTTCCACGACGGAAACTTGTTGATCTCCTCTTCTTCTCTTCTTCTTCTCCTTCTTCTCTTATTCTTCTCTTCTTCTTCTCTTCTTCACTCTCAAGAACCCTAACTTTCTCTCTTTAAAATGGGATAAAAATGATCCAAAACCAGCCTAACACACCATATAATTCCAAAAGAAATGGCTAGGGAAAAGACTAAAATGCCCTTAATTTTCCGGATAGATTTCCCTGCCAACTGCCCAACTTCTAAAAGGCATAACGTGCTCATACGAACTCAGAATTGAGCAAACTCGGCGGCGTTGGAAATATCATTCCACAAGCTTCAAAACCATAACTGGAACTACTCCTAACTCATCCTGAGCTGCAAGTTATGACTGCTCAAAGTTGACCAAAAACTCACCGATTTCCACACTTAGCCAATTTTCCAGATTTTTAAATTTTTCCAAAAATGACTATTTCCAAATTTCAAGCTTTTCCATAGTTATTTCAAATTGCTGGATGTTACAAGGATGCTCTGGCAGCGTGAGGTTGATCGTTGTATCATCACTATAGCTCTTATGTGATGGTTGTCGGTTAGAGAAACTCCCACAGTAGTTATTGTATTTTCATACACAGCAGTTATTGTATTTTTATACACAGAAAGTATTGTATTTTTATATACATCAGTTCATTTGTATTTCTATATACATCTCAGGCTTAGTGTATCTCAGGATCGGCTCTTGCCTATAAAATTTTAGGCATTGGCCTTATTGGGGGCCTCAAATTTTTATAAATAAAAAATTATGTATCTTAACCCCATTCAAATAGAAGAAATTAAGGAAACATTGTTTTGGATTCTTACATTTTCTTCGTTAACACTCACATTATTTATCCTTTGTAACTCTTTTTGCACTCTATTTCTTCACATCTTTGATAGTTAGAGTAATACACTCTCAAAAATATGAATCAATAGTCGAAAAGTGTTGAACAAAGTGCATTACAAATTCTCTTTTTTAATTTATTCGTTAATTTTCATATTAAAGTAGGTATACCAAGTTATCAACTTTTTGAATCAAATTCTACGATTCTTACTCTTATCTTTAAAGTTTATCAACTTATTACTTATAAAATTGTGTTAATAATTCATATAATAATTGTCTCAATAAAAGAATGTTTTTCAATGTTGAATTGATAAAATCTTACTTAAAACTAATAATTAAAAATAATGTTTGAAAAATCATTTATATAAAAGATATTAAGTAGTAATTTACGTCTAGAAATTTAGAAAAATAAATAGATATAGATAAAATTTATATAGATTTTAGGCCTCTAACAAAAATTTCGCTTTAGGCCACAAATTATGTTGAGCCGCCCCTGGTGTATCTCTGTATACACACAGAGTTTATAGCTGGTTTTAAACAGCTCTTCTTTATATTGCACTTGTTTTAAATTGCATTATATTGAAATGAGTCAGTCAGGATTGAGTTGAGTTGAGCCAGGTAAGTTATTCAGTTTCTTCCAGATTTTCTTCTACCCTATGTTGCTTAGCTTACCAGCTTGCATACTCGTATATTCATTGTACTGATGTCAGTTGGCCTACACCTTATGACGATGCAGACGCAGGTACCCAGGATCAACACCCAGCACGCCGTTGATCCAGTTGAGCATTTTAGAGTCAGTAGTGAGCCTCCTTGCATTCCAGAGGACTCTATTATTTTGTGTTTCTAGTTTTGTTTTGTTAGGATGTTGCGGGGTCTGTCCCAACATCCATCTCAGTATTATAGAGGTTTCATAGACAGTCAGTCAGTTAGTATTGAGTCTCTCATCTATGTATATGTAAATATGTTATTTTAGGACTCGAGTTGCCTTTTTATCCAGATTTGTATCATTTAAGTTGTTTTATGTCCTTGCATTGCATGGAGTTATTCAGTTGAGTTAGGTTTCCGCTGAGTTCAGAAGCTAGGCCAAGGGTTCGCTTGGGGCCAGCAATGGTTTTCAAGTGCCGGCCACCTCCAGGGTGTAGGCTCGGGGCGTGACAGAGGATCCCGTATCTAGCAACCCAACCTATAAAAGGGCATCAAAGCCTATTAGCACAACTTAATTAAAAGGAGTTTGATCGGAGCCAAAAAGGTAAAAAAATTTGCCAAAAATTTCAAAAGAGCACATCATATTTTTTTTAAACCAAAAAGCCAAAATCTCTCATGCCGGAGCAATTTCATTCTGACACATATTAACTCCGTTAAAAATAAAAATTGCTGCCCTAGCAGTGATTTTGTCCAATTTTTTTTCTTTTCTTTCACTAAAATCGCTGGCACAACAACGATTATTTAACTCTAATTTTGTTTTCCTCCAACAAATATCACTACCATGGCAGCATTTTCATAGAAAAATAAAATAAATATTTTTTCATGAAAATCGCTGCTTTGGCATTTTTTTTTAAGAAAAAATTCTTTTGAAATCGCTGCCTTGGCAGCGTTTCTCTTGAAAATAATTCTATTTTTTTTTGGAAAATCGCTGCACCTTAAAAAAAAATTGAAAATCTTTTCTTATTTTTTGTATTTTTTTTTAAAATTGCGTTTTTATGAAAAAACTTTAAGCAAAACTTTTAATTTTTTTTCTTTTCTGAAGAGAAACGCTGCCAAAGCAGCGATTTAAAAAAAAACTTTCAATAAAAATCTGCCAAAGCAGCTATTTTCATGATTTTTTTTTGTAAATTTTTTTTTCTACGAAAATGCTGCCATAGCAGCGATATTAGTTGGAGGCAGCGATTTTTATTTTTTTTTAACGGACAACGTCAATTTTTGTCAGAAGAAAATCACTCCTGACGGAGCGATTTTGCCTTTTTGGTTAATTTTTTTTTTGATGTGCCGTTTTAGCTTTTTGAAAGAAAAAAGTTGCCCTTTTAGCTTCGAACTCGTATATTGTCAAACGTTGTATCTCTTGCTAGTGGTAGAGTAAGGTTCTAATCTAGACCCCCTATATATCCCCTTACCATTATTCCCTGTTAGTATTATGCTAGCATTTACTTTTTCTTTAATTTATAACTATGGTTATTTCTTTTACTTTGATTATCTTTAATATTTTGACTGTCGATAGTTTTGTTTCTTAAATATAATTCTCATCATATCTTTTTACTGTTACAATACTTTCAAACCATGTTTTGAAGAACGATTTCTTGATTCGAGGATCTATCGTAAACATCCTCTCTATCAGACAAAGATACAAATAAGGCCTGCATACATCCTATCCTTCTCAAATTCCACTTATATGAGATGATATCAGATATGTTATTGTAATTGTTGCATAATTAACCATCCTTTTCAATTTCAATAAATAAAAAAAACTCCTCTTTAATATCATTCTAATGAAAATTTCTTCGAAACAACATAAATAATAACAGTTCATCATGTTCAAGAATCCACTAATTTTTCTTTAAATTCTTATTAACTAATTTTTTGCAATGTTTATATCATGTCATTTAAAAGAAAAAGACAGATGACTCTAAGCATTGATTGATATATATAATGTACTAGAATAAGTGGTAGTAACTAGTACGTACATTATAAATAGGTGATCCTATTAGCACAACTTAAAGCCACAAATCTCGATAAGAAAAAAAGAGTAGAGTGAAGCAATGGCTACTACTTCTCCTAATAATAAGTCTCGTCGCTTAGCTAATTTTCACTCAACTGTTTGGGGATATCATTTCCTTTCTTATACTCCTGTGAGTTAACACATACTATTTCTTTAAAATCTCCTTATTATATTGTTGCTAATTAATTTTGCATGTTATACCTTTTTTTTTTTACTATTTTGTCTAAACTTAACGTACATAATATTTAATCGATTAATTAATATAGTATGCTGCAAGACATTTACTGATTTTGGATGTCCTGCAGGAAATAAGTACCCAAGAGAAACTTGAAGTTGATGAGTTAAAAGAAATATTCAGGAAAATGTTGATGGAAACTTGTGATAATAGCACTCAAAAACTTGTGTTGATAGACACAATCCAACGATTGGGAGTAGAATATCATTTCCATAATGAAATCGAAACATCCATTCAAAATATTTTTGATTCTCAACTACAGAGTGAGAATAATGATGACAACCTTTACGTTGTTGCTCTTCGTTTTCGACTGCTAAGGCAACAAGGACATTACATCTCTTCTGGTAAATGTGCTCTATCTTTACATTTGTTAAGTCACAATAAAAATCAATTTCTAATTAGCTTGGTATATAATGTTATGGCATGTTGAACAACAATTTGCATTTAAGTTTTTATAACAATACAAATTAAATATTATGGCATGTTTAAAGTCGCATGTTTCAAAAGTTTTACTGCCACACAAATACTATCACATGTACACGTTTTTCAAATCTTCTTTTCTTTCTTAAATTCTGTGCTGAATCAAATTATTATATCGCATAAATTGGAACGGAAAGAATACCAGAGTAAATAATTTTGGCAGCAAAAAACTCTTACGAAGGTTTATGTCTAGTTACGGCTTGTAACAAATTAAATTTCTTTATATCTGCTAACATCAAAAGACGATATTAATTAATCTGTAGATGTCTTCAAGAAATTCATAGATCATGATGGAAAATTCAAAGAAAACCTTACTGATGATGTTCAAGGATTATTGAGTCTACATGAAGTAGTACATCTGAGAGTACGCGGGGAGGAAATTCTTGAAGAAGCTCTTATCTTTACTATCACTCATCTCGAATCTATGCTCTCCAACTCGAACAATGACTCGATTAAGGTTCAAATTACTGAAACCTTAAGCCAACCTATTCACAAGACTGCAGCAAGGATGGGAGCTAGGAAATACATATCCACCTATGAAAACAATGATGCACACGACAATTTTCTTTTGAAATTTGCAAAATTGGATTTCAACATGCTACAAAAGATGCACCAAAGAGAGCTTAGTGAGCTTACAAGGTATAAAGATATCTATATAATTTGATCTATGTATGTACTTACTTCATATATGATACAATTATATATTATTTAAATCGTCGATCTTATGATATAGGTGGTGGAAAGATTTGGATTTTGCAAACAAATTGTCACATGTAAGAGACAGATTGGTTGAGTGTTACTTTTGGATACTAGGAATGTATTTTGAGCCTAAATATAATCGTGCTAGAACAATGATGACTAAAGTACTAAAGATGAGCTCTATTATTGATGATACATATGATGCTTATGGAACACTTGATGAACTTGCATCTTTCACCGATGCAATCCAAAGGTATAAAACACAAACTTTATAAGTAAATTAACTTTCTTATTTTACAATCCCTCATTAATGAATATGAAAAATTAAACATGTATTTATGTTGTTATTGTGAAATTAATGTACAAGACATAAATTAAATCGATTTGTTTGTAATTTTCAGATGGGATATCACTGCAATCGATTCAATCGAGCCATATCTAAGACCTGCTTATGAAGCTCTTCTAGACGTTTATAGTGAAATGGAACAAGTATTGGCCAAAGAATGTAAATCAGACCGTGTATACTATGCAAAACAAGAGGTAATATTATTGCTTAACCAACCACATAAATATGTCAGTTAAGTAATATGCGGAATTTTAGTAGTCCAATTGGATGGCTGTCTGAATTTTTCCACGTTGTAATGAATTCCCTTTAACCACTTCTCATTCCCCACCCCTATGTATAATTCAAGAAAATAAATGAATACTTTTGCGACTTAATTATTATCTAGCTAACAATATTTCTAATTAATTCTTTTTAGATGAAGAATTTGGTGAGTGCCTATTTTAAGGAAGCCCAATGGTTAGATGGTGGCTGTATTCCAAAATGTGAAGAGCACTTGGAGAATGCACTTGTAAGCTCTGGCTGTCTTATGGCAACCGCTTCTTCCTTGGTTGGTATGGAGGAATTTATACCCAAACAGACTTATGAATGGTTAATGAATGAGCCTTTGATTGTACGAGCATCCTCAATGATTTGTAGAGCAATGGACGATATTATTGGACATGAAGTAAGTATAACTTCTCAAGGGCAAATTAGACATTTAGCCGATTGAAAAAAATAATAAAAATACTCCCTTCGTTTCATTAAATTTGTCATGTTTTATTTTTTGAGATTTAAATTGTATTAATTTTTTATCAATATTTTGAGATATATTTTTTGACCATATTAATATGAGGAAAATGGTATCTTGAAGTACTTTTAATGTAGTTTTTTGAATATTTAAATTATAATTTTAAAATATTAAATTAATACAATTCACTCTTTAACTCTTTAAGATTACTCAAATTGACATTCAAAAAGTGAAATATGACATGTAATAGGGGATTGTATATGTATCAACAATATATATTATATATTAATATACAAAACACATGTATTTGTTAGCTACAATTTTCTTGAATGGCTATTTATCTCAATTTCTCCATCTTATAATCCATATACGTAGTAAATTCTTAATAGCACGAAAAACAAAATATATAGAACAGTTCGGATTTGCTTCAAATATACCTCCATAAGCATACAGATGGAATAAATTGTATATAGTGGATTTATATTAAATTGACTTAAGAATTAACTAAGAATCTTACAATATGATAAAAGGAAATGCTAAAACTATAGTAGTTTAGTTATACTGAAGATGTTGATATTTATTTTATGTAGACTGAACAAGAAAGAGGACATGTAGCTTCAATTATTGAATGCTACATGAAAGAATATGGAGCTTCAAAGCAAGAGGCATACATGAAGTACCATAAAGAAGTCATCAATGGATGGAAGGATGTAAACAAAGAACTTCTCCGTCCTACTAAAGTGCCAATATTTGTCCTTGAACGAGTTTTAAATTTTGCACGTGTGATGGACATGTTATACAAAGAAGAAGATGCATATACAAACTCCAAAGGCAAACTAAAAAATATGATTAGCTTGTTACTAGTTGAATCTATCAAAATATGAAAATCATTATGAAATTACACCATCAAGGAATTGGAGCAAAATCAGCCATACAATAAATTGAAGATCTTTTATTTATATGTGATGCATATTATATTGTATTGTATTGTATTGTATTGTATTACATTATTTTATAATTATATACTTTAAATAAATTGTATCGTTTGTTTTGGTTTAATAGCACATTTGGTTGATTGTATCGTGCAATAATCATTAAATTGACTAAAGTATCCTTCATTATTATAAATATCAAACTTATCAACAATTACTATAAAAAATAATTGAAGACGATTTGTTCTTGGAAGGTTTGAATTTGATAGAATTGGGACAAGAATAATTTATGCATCCAATTAATTTAAAAGCTTCTTAATTTAATAATGTAAATTAATTAATTTGAAATAAATAATTTAAGTATATCAATTAAGTTATGAATTAACTGATTTAAATAAAGAAAAAAACACAACACTTTAACTTAAATTCATGCTTAAATATAGAAAACATATTCAGAATATTATAAAATATATATACCATATATATAAACACCTTATATTGTTTATTACAAAATGGCAAAATTGCTCTGAAAATATTTTTGACTTTTTGTAAAAAATAATTGTTTTAACTTATTTGAAATTGACAAAGTTTGAAGATTACTTAAATTATGAATCGGGCAAAAATTGAATGTCAACATGAATTGATTCTTTTCAAAGTAAATACATGAGTACCTCTGTTAGTGTTACCATTTTAGATTTCACGTACCTTATGTAAGTTTACCATTCTAACTTTAGTATTCTCTTGAAGTCAAGTTTTCTATAAAATTTATTTTAATTAATTAATTAAACAGTGAACATGAATTATATTAATCATTTAGTTTTCCTATGTCGGTCAAATGTATACTTTCAAGACTAATAATTCTCAAGGATAAAATAGAAAAATCTCCGCTTTCAACCATGAAACAGTTCAACAAACGGGATGATAAAAATCATATTTGAATTAAAAAAAATAAATTAATACTTTCAATAAAAACATTTTTGCTCTTTTCGTTCACAACTTATTCATTGAGTTAAAAAAAAATCATTCAACTTTTCTTTTAATTTGAATATTTTCATAACGACATTGGAAATAACTCGCACCCATTAATATTTACCCCTTCAGACCCAACTCAATTTTCAAAAAAAAAAAAAAAGAAAACTCAATCCCTTTTTTATTCCGTCATTGTGAATGTGATCGGCTGCATTTTAGAATTCTATATTTTTGTTGAATCAATTGAAAACCTTTCGCCATCGGGCACTTCTAATTTAACCTTTATATCATTTTGCTTGTTGGCTACATTTACCCTTTGATGTTTCAAGATTAAGGTATCAAAACTGTTGTTCTCCTCTATTTAAATCAAGAATAAGTTAGAAATTTTGAAGAAAAAACAAACATTTTACGATAGAATTGAATAAAATTAAGCCGATGATGGAATAAATGAGTAGGGACTGAGTGTTTTTTAGTTGGGTGGGTTTGGACTTTGGAGTGTTAAAAATTAATGGGTGGAAATTTTATATTTAATAGTTGGCAATATTTAAATTAAAAATAAAATCAAATAATTTTAATTCAGTGAATATGAATTCATTAATGAAAAAACCCAAATATGTATACTCTATTGGTTAGATAATGAGAATATATATATAAATCACCTTATTGACGAAATAATATAATATCAATTCTTAATCACAAAATGAATAAGTATATCTGATTCTTTTTCCTAAAATGAATCTCCCTGGCCAGTATAAATATAAATAATAAACAATAGAAAATTCTAACAAACTTTGTCTCTGACCAGTATAGACACTAGAAAATTCTAAACAAGTTTTTATGTCTTTGATTTGATTTAATATTATTTATATTTCATTTCCTTCTTATTCTCAACCTTTACTTCATGTGATTCCATGCAATTTTTCATATTATCTAAAAATATATTTTAATTTTTAAATTAAAGTAGAAATTCATTGTTAAATAAAGTTATGGACTTACGTCCTCCTTTTCATCTAAATCATATTTATGTATGTTATGTTGAAATTTGACATAAGAGTATTATGTTAAATTTTTTTGTTTTGAATTTAGAACTTATGTTATATTTTCAATTTCATTTGTTTTAAGGAGTATTGACTCGATATTTTACATTGCAAGATATTTTATTGACTAAAGTACCACATAATTAATTACCGAGGCTTCCTATTGTGGAAATAATTTCAAATAATTAATTTGAATTATTCTTACCATAATAAATTACAAATCATTCCACTAGAAATTCGTAATTACACTCCTCTATTTGTATCGAAATTCCCCATTAAACACTTATGTAATTCCCCATGTCAAGATTACATGTACTAATCAATAAACTAAATTACTGACGAATTTGATTCAGTGATTAGTTTCATTTAGAGCAATACTTAACTTATTTCATGAACCAGAATCATAAATCTACCGGTCGGGTTTAAAATTAAAACTCTACCACTATCAAACAAAAAAAAAGGAGATATTTTCTATTGCTAAAAGTAGAGTTGTTGAACCATCCGCATGAAAAATGCTAACTTCACCTCTAATCAGCTTGCAAGTTTCTTGAAACCCCTGCAAAGTAGTGCAGATATGATCAGTGGATCCTGAGGCTACATACCATGAATTAGTAGAAACAACCTCTAAATATGTTTCAACGAAGAGTGAAAGTGAGTTACCTGGATTGTTTTTCTTCTTGGCTAAGAAAACTGGACAATGCGCCTTCTAATGGTTTGGCATCTTGCAATGAAAATACTTGCACTTAGGTTTTTTCATGCCCCCAGTTGGAGGTTAAATTGCCTTAGTTTTGTGAGCCTTTTTCTTCTTCTGTCCACCTTGCGATTTAGAAGTAGAACCTTTCTCAACATACAGTGTCATAGATGATGTTGATTTTTTGACAATTGTCTCTACCGCTTGCAGCTCATTCAACAATTGTGCCAAACATAGATTCATCTTATTCACATTATAATTTAGGCAAAACTGTTGAAAACTGTCAAGTAGAGACTACAATATCATCTCAGCTTGGGAGTTGTTGTCAATTTCATCCCTCAAGACCTCTAGGTCATTCATAAGACCTATCATCTTCAGAACATGGTCTCTAACAGGAGTGTCTTCAACCATATTAGTGTTCATGAGAGATCTCATGGCAGTCTACTTATCTTATCGACCCTAGTCACCAAACCATTGTTTGAGAGTTTCCAAAATTTCAAAACTTGATGATGGATGATGTTGCAGCACATTTAACATTGAAGCCATAATGGAACACCGCGCCATCTCATCAGTTTTGCGTCATTTCTGATAAGCTACCTTATTCTCATCACTAGACTTTTCATCTTGTTTCAATAGACATTCCTCATAGAGTACAAGCTTATACTCTTCATCAATTAACACGAAGTCATGATTTCTCCTCCAATCAACATATAGTTAGGACCCTCAAGTTTGTTATGATCCAAAATAGTACTAAGGGGATTAAAAGGAGACATGTTGAATCTGAGAATAAAAATAATAGTTACAATAGATCAAATCAAACAAGCAGTCATATAAAAATTCAATAGTTATATTCAAACTCATCACATACATATACATTCATGCATCTTGAAAAACCAATTTATGGGATTGGAGAACTATTCATACAATATACATATACAATGACCGATGATTCACTCCATAAATGTATACAGACCTAATTCAGATGGAGAGTCTACTATTAATTAATGTCAAGTAAAAATCAGAACTCTAGTTACATTGATCCAATCATATACTACTCAGTTTAGGAGAGTTAATACAAATTATCAAACGAGCGATCAAATACATAGTGACTTGTATAAAATTCATCTGATAGGGAGGAAGGTCTAAGCCAACACATAAACTTAATACTTCATTACTATTTGATCTTGGTAATTAAAAGGAAGAACTCTAATCACCAAGTAATATATTCTTTGTACCAACTTTTTTTAAAAAAATTCAAAGACCTAGGGTTTTCACAAAGTATCATCACACATATATATACCATTACATGTAAAAAATATTTGAACATAACATTGTATAAACAAAATTATGAAAACGAGCTCCTATTTTGATTTCTTGTTTGAGAGTTTTTCTTTTTCAAATATAATTTTAAAAAATGAAAATTCACGTATTATTTCATATCTGTTTGAAAAGAAGGGGGACTAAAGTGTATGTATCAAAACTTAGAAGATGCTTTTGTATGTCCCAAGTAGGTCACATGGGTGATGTCATAATTAATTTAATGGGTATACCACAAAGTTTTCAAGACTTGTGACTTAATGTCCAATTAAGTCTTGAGAGTGACTATTTTGCCAACTCTCCAGAGTAACACCTATCCACTTGTTCAATTATTAATAATTTAAATTTAATTTCCTTAAATATTAGTCTAACTATGATTAAAAACATGACTAACTCCTGCAAATCAACAAGAAAGATAAAAGTTTTACACTATATAGTGTAGACATGTAATTTTTAACCCCTCCCCTCCCCGTACATTTTTACAATACTTTAGCATTAAATATTTCTTTTATAGGCTTAGGTTGAACTTGGTTTTTCTCCAGTGAGATCCCCTCCATTTCCCCTAGTGCACCTTTCAATGAGTGTCACCTATCCACGTGTTTAATTTATAATCAAAATCTAATTTTCTTAAATATTAGCTAACTATAATTAAAAACACATCAACTACTGCAAATCAACAAGAAAGATAGATTCCAAAGAAAAACAATTGTTTGAATTGTGATCCTGTGAAATTGAACCAAAGACTTACGTAATCTGGAGGTTAGAACCCCTCGAGAAATATGGAAATTTTCTTAAAAGATGGTTGCCCTCACTTTTGTTAATATTCATATTTATTGCTGCTAAAAAATTGTATTTATGGTAGGCTTAAGTTGAAATGATAAAACAGGAATAAGTTGAAGCAGATGTTGAGGGCAGATTGGACATTACCTTAGCTAGATATTTTGGTAGA